TTCCTAGAGTTGGAAAGAAATGGAACTTACTTCTCCAGGAATGTGACACAGGCTTTCTGCCCATAGATCTGTGCGATCCTCTTCGGCGTGTCTCCAAAGAAGTCGGGGGCGTCGATGGCGGCGTGCAATGCATGGAGCATTTTGAGCACATGCAGATGGCCTGACTCAGCTGCAAAGTGAGCTGGGGTCCAGCCCACATCAGTTACCAGGCAGGGTCTGGCTCCACACTGTATGAGGAGCTTCATCACCTCCATATGCCCTTACATGCACCAAGAAGAAAGAGAAGGTTACGATGAAAATGTCTCCACTGGCCCAAGGCCACAGGTAGTCTAGATAGCACAAAAGAGGGGAAGACATTGGCCTTTGAGGCCCCTCCAGCTGCTCAGCATCTTTCCCTCCTCCCTTTTTCCTCTCAGTACCCCACCCTTACCCCAAGGAACCAAGATCTCACTCACCCAGGGGCTGAGGCCCTCTATATATTCCTTCTACTCCTCCCTGACACCCCCCTCCCAGCCCTGCCTAGAAATCTTGCTTTCCCTCCCAAGTCACTCTACCCCTGCCTTTGTTAGCACTGGCAAGCTCCCTGCTTTTGGCAGTCTCCAGGCTGATTTCAAAAACAAATATTTCACTACAGCATAGATGGACCTTGAGGGCATTATGCTAAGCCAGACAGAGAAAGACATGTCAGACAGATACCGTATGATCTCACTTATATGTGGAATCTAAGTAACAAAAGCCAAGCTCATAGGTACAGAGAACAGATTATATTGGTGGGTTCCAGCTGTGGGAGATGTGTGAAATGGGTTAAACTGTGAAATGGGTTTAACCCATGAAGTTTCAATCGCACTGTACATGTGTGCCCGCACGTGTTATCTTGTGGAAGAGCCACACTCAACGGGCCAAAGAGCCGCATGTGGCTCACGAGCCGCAGTTTGCCGACCACTGGGTTAAGGTAGTCAAAAGGTACAAATTTTCAGTTATAAAATACAAGGTCATGGGGATGTAATATACAGCATGGCGACTGTAGTTAATAATTCTGTGCTGCCTCTTTGACAGTTGCTAAGATAGATCTTCAAAGTTATGACAAGAAAAAAAATTTATAACTAAATTTGGGGATGGA